GGTGTCAGATCCCCTGGAACTGGAGTTATGGATGGTTGTCCATAACCATGTGGGTGTTGGGAACCAAACCTGGGGCCTCTGCAAGAGCAGAGAGTGCTCTTAACCACTGAGCCATCTCTCCAGCCTCTGCCTCTATTTCTGGAGTCCTGGGATTACAGGTATATGCCATCACATCCACATTTGACTCCTTATTTAGGTCTGTGTTTGCTCAAATGTTTCCTTCTCAGAGAAACCTCTGGCCACCTATAGATACAGCCTGTTCTGTATTGTGTTGTAGTTTTTGTTTTTTTGTTTTTGTTTTTGTCTTTTTGAGACAGGGTCTCCTTGTAGCCCCAGCTGTCCTGGAACTCACTATGTAGATCAGGCTGGCCTCGAACTCACAAAGATCCACCTGCCTTTGCCTCCCAAGTGCTGGGATTAAAGGTGTGCGCCACCACACCCGCCAAGTGTTGTAGTTATTTTCTGTCTCCTTGGCAATTACCTTGCTCCTTCTCCAGATTTGTCCCCCTTGGTTTACTTTTCATTGCTAGTTTCTCGTATTTCTTCCTTTCTCACCTACTTTGAGTAGATAGGCCAAGCTAGACACAGGGTTGGGAAGGTGATTTAAATGATGGGCCAGGATGTACATGGAGGTGGTGAGTCTATAGGGACAGCAGCTAACTGGTTCCTGGCTATTGTCACCATTTCAGACACAGCCCAGTATGGGCCACTACAAGGGAAATCACAATTCTGAGATCCTGAGATTAAAATTCATCTCTATTTGCTTTACTCCTATGTCCTTTGGCACACAGTAGGGACTTAATGTCCATTCGTCAATTAAACAGTGATTTCTTTCTGGACATAGTCATGCATGTCTATAATCCTAGCACTTGGGAAGTTGAGGCAAAAGCATCAGAAGTTCTAGGTCAGTCTAGGTTATATAGCAAGGCCCAGGCCAGTATAGGCTACAATGAGACCCTGCCTCAAAAACCCAGAATAAGAGGCTGGAGAGATGGCTCAGCGGTTAAGAGCACTGTCTGCTCTTGCAGAAGACCCAGGTTTGAATCCCTGCACCCACATGGAGACTAACAACCATCCATAACTCCAATTCCAGGGAACCCGATGTCCTCTTCTGACCTCCGTGAGCACTGCATGACATGGGTGCATTTACATACATGCAGGCAATACACTCATACACATAAAATAAAAATAATAAATAAAAGATTTTTTAAAGTCCAGGACAAGCAAAAACAAAGAAGTAGTTTCTAAGAATTCTGCTAAACAATGGAACAGCCAGAAGCAGTGCCAGTTTTCTAGCTGTCAGCATCTCAGAAGTCTCCAAAATGACCTGGCCCTACCCCTTCTTGATTCACATGGAGGAAACAGAGACTTACAGTGTTAGGGGTTTATCCAGATCTAGACAGTGACAGGATTTAGCAACACTTGAAAGGTTCCAACTGGGAGCCCTGCTGAAGCCTGCAGCCTTCCCCCAGCTCACCGGTATTGATGACCTTCTGGATGACTTTGGCCACTTGTCCCTTGAGCAGAGAGTTGAGCATCTTGACCAGGAGGATAAGACAACTGCACAGGAGGACCAGGGAGCCAGCCAGCAGGATGAGCCCCACAGCCAAGTCAGGCAGCCCCGTGTCCACGAAGATGTGTTTGCCTATAGGAATGGTGTTAGATTGCTGAGTGCTCACCTCCACACTTGCTGCTCACCTTTGCCAGCCCATTGGACTATGAGCCTGAAACCCCAGCTGTCCTTCCTAGGGCTGCATGCAACAGCAGCCATCAGGGGATGGCTCTCTTGTGCTCCCCTGCTGTGCTCCTGCCATGTGGGACACCTCCCATGTTGTAGGTACTTACATTTTTCCATGGTGGTATTTGCAAGACTGAAGTTGGCCTCTGCCCTCGACATAGAAGTGGAAGCCTAAATTCAGAGGAAGATGACTTAGAAGATCTAGAAAAGCACAGCCTGTGGGCATAGTTAAGATGGAGGTTAGGGAGAAATGGGAGAACTAGAGATGGATTTTCTAACTCTGTGGTCACGGACAGGTTGCTTGGACTCCTCTGAACCCATCTCCTCTGCTGAAAAAATGTAGATGAAATACCTGCCACTCAAAAATAAGGTCATGACCCTGTACAGTCTTGCCCCATCTCTTCACTGACCTGGCTCTCCCTAGGACCAGCAGTAACATCCTGATAACCAAATGCAGTAGCTTTTTGTCTTGATTTCCTTTTTCTGAAAGCTCTTCTATCCCATCTGTTATTACTAATTCCTTTCCTGATATCCTACTCCTTCCTCAGCATCTGCCTCATACTACCCCTAAACCTTAACCCAAGCTCTGTTCTCCTCTGGCTCAATTCCTTATCCTTGGGGGATCCAAGTGGAAGGAAAGTTGGTGGGGCAGAGGATCTAGCCCCACATGTCCTCCTTCTGTGTCTACTGAGGGAGGCTTCCTGGGGACACAAAGTTAGGTGACCTAAATGGTGGGCCAAGCCTCGTGTAGTGATGGTGGGCCTGTAGGGACAGCTGCTACTTAGCTTCAGGCCACTGTCACCATATAGGGACACAGCCCAGCATGGCCAATAGCCCAATTCTATAAGAAGAACCACAATTCTGGAGTTTTAAGGTAAAAATCGCTCAATCTCTGTAAATGTAACTACTCTAACACATACCTCTTTTTTTTTCCCCAGTGATGTGGACTGAATGTAGAGACTCAAAAATGTCACTAGGCCTGGAGAGACATACTTTACAATCTAGGAAGCAGAATCCGATGGACAGCAGAAGCAGCCCTGTCTAGTCCATGGACTGCTAATCTGGAGGGCAGCTATGCTCACCGCAATGCCACAAACACTGCACTTACACTGCTAATCCATAGCTTCATTGGATTAAGGGGTTAATGAAAAATGTAGCCCAGGGATCCTTACTTTTTCCACTGGAACCAGGGAACCATCCAGTGGGAGGAAATAGGGTGGACTTGGTTGTGAAGAAGCTAAGGGTCGGGGCTGGGAGTGGGCTGGCACTTTGATGTTTACATATTCTTTAGGTTTTATTCTAAACTGTGTCATTTCCAAAATGTATTGCGGGGCTGAGGCTCTGGGTCAGTGGTATAACCCTTGCTTAGAATATGCGAGGCCATGAATACATTCCCAATCCCTCAAAAACAAACAGAACAAAACCAAAACCCCAAAACAAACCAAAAACCTCACAAAAACTACTATGATGGCAAAGAACTGTTTCTGAGAACTGTTTTTTGACATTGTGTGTATTTTAAAATATTTTATTATTTTTATTTTATGTGTATTCGTGTATTGCCTGAATGTAGGTAAGTGCACCCGTGTCATGCAATGCCTGCAGAGGTCAGAAGAGGATGTTGGATCCCCTGGGACTGGAGTTACGGACAGTTGTTAGCTGTCATGTGGGTGCTGGGATTTGAACCTGGGTCTTCTGTAAGAACAGCCAATGTTCTTAGCTGAGCCATCTCTCCAGCCCCATCACATCAGGTGTATTTTAGAGGGGTGTGCTCTGGTGAGCAGGGCAGTTTGCTCAACTGTGTTTGAAATTCACTAAACCTAGATCTTGGGGGCACCATCAAGCCTTGGGGCTTAAACTCTAGGTGAGAAGCTAGGAGAAAATCATTTCTAATGGGATAGAAGTTCAGATGAACTGGGTGTGGCTCACGCCTATAATCCCAGCACTTAGGAGGCTAAAGCAGGAAGATTGCCATGAGTTCAAGGCCAGCCTGAGATAGAGTGAAACCTTGTCTCAAAAAACAAAACAAAGGGATTGGCTCAGGGGTTAAGAGCATTGGCTGCTCTTTCAAAGGACCTGGGTTCAATTCCCAGCACCCACATGGTGACCAATAACTATACTTCCAGTTCCAGGGGAATCCGATGCCCCCTTCTGTCCTCCTCGGGCATTGTACAACACAGATGCACTTTCATACATGCAGGCAATACACTCATGCACAAAAAATAATAAAATAATTTTTTAAAAAACAAAATAAAACAACAAAAGACCAGGCTGGTGAACTGTAGGTCTACTGATCTGGCAAGGGAGAGAACTGTGTTGAATCAGGGAGATGTGGCCACCCATGACATCGGAACCGTTTTTTGGGCAATTTTCTTTCCAGTGTCCGGTTTCTCCACATTTAAAGCATTTTGAGTTGGGTTGGGTTGCAACTACAAAGGGGAGAGAGCCAGGTATTTGCTCAGTTTAAACCCTGTCTTTTATACCAACTATCTTTGGTCAGTCATGCCACTTCTTTGAGCCTCATTTTTTTTTTTTTTTTAAGTGGGATAATAAAAGAACGTTGTAAAGGTTACAGAAGAAAATATGCACAAATTCCTCACTTCAGGGCTTGGCTCATGACAAGCCTTTAGTAAATTGTACCTCCAAATAAGGAATAAATGATTTTTCTTCCTGGGCTTACCACATGGTATGTGACTAACTTCCTAACTCAGGATACTGGCTCCTGCAGACCCTCCTGAGCACCCTGGTTCTGTTGGGAAGGAGCTTGGCAGACCTTCCTAGAGGTCCCTAGCCTCTAGGAAGTAGACAAACCCCTAGATGCATAGGTGTGTGCCTCATTGACCTTCCTGGAGCTGAGTCCTGGGGCCTCCTGGGGATGAGACTTGTGGGCCTTGGGGAGGAGGATGAGGAGCTTGGCAGGGGTCCCACCTTTGGGTTGACAAAGTCAGGGGACAGACAAAGACGAAAGCAAAGGTATTAGGTGCTTTGTTATTTTTGTTTTTCATGCTGGAAATTGAACCTTGAACCTAGGCATCATGCACACTAAACACATGCTGATACCACTGAGCTCCACTCTGCTCCACCTACAGGGGTTCTGGAACCTTTACTTTCCTTCCTGAGGTTGTGTGGCCTTAGCTGAGCCCACAGGAGGATTCAGGGAACCCAAAGTGCAGGAGGAAGGCAGAGGCAGCAGAAAGGGCAGAGAAGAACCCACTGAAAAGCAAGCCAGGAAGGAACTGAGGGGAGGGAGGACATCTTAAGGCTTTCTTATGAGGGGAAAAGGGAGAAGGTCTGGCCTGGCATGTCCACCCTTGTCTGGGATAGGAGTGGAGGACTAGAAAGGGATTAGGGGATGGAGGTGGTGGCGTAGTGGAAATCTTAAAGGGAAAACAGAACAAATGTGTCTCCCGTAGTCCTGGGCTCACACTGTAGCTGAGCTCATTCCAAGTTGTGTGATACGGTGTCACACACTTAACCTCTCTGGGTTTCCATTGCCTCATTTCTAGCCCTGTTTGCTTTTCCCCAGGGGCTGGGGAAGCATCTTGGAAGAGGGAGTTGGGATTTAAGAGCCTGCAGGGACACCTTGAATTACGAGACACTTCTGGGAACTGAAGGAGGTAATTAGGCTCACAGAGGACTACCAGACTTCAAGAGTCCTTCCTCAGGAGAGAACCACAGAGGATGCGGGCCTGCACAACAGCTTCCCCTCGGGAGGAACTGAAGCTTTGGAGCCTTTGTTCTTCTGGAAGGCGAGCCCTGCGCCAGTAGCACCATCTGGTGGCTAAGAGGAGAACTTCTCAGAGCATTACCAGCCCACCTACCCTGGGCTGGTCCAAGGTGGTCTGAAGGCACAATGGGCAGAAAGAGAAATGGATACATGTGATGGTACTTCAGATTGGCATCTGGAAGAGATAGCTAAATGTGAGGAGTCCACAAGGATTGGGACCTTTCCTCCATTACATGAACTAACATGGTAAGCCACTGTTTCTTCATCTCTAAAGTGGGGGTATAACAACCCCTCTCCTCAATTGCCAATCCTCCAAAGATGCTTGTTTCAATCCGGCAGATATGGTTGCCAGTCCACAATGTGACTCACAGGAAAAGACTCCCTAAGACAATCCCAGGCCCTTGGATCATCCAGAAGTTTCAAACATTAAAATGGCCTGTGTTTTTCTCTTTCTACAACTGGAAAACCTCAGTCTTCCACCTTCTCCTTGATGATGTCCACCTCTAGAGACAGCTTTGAGCAAGGTCGGCCTACATGGTGGAAGCTCGAGGCAATAAGTTCAAGGAAGATAGGGAAACTCTGGCCAAAGGAAAAATAGGTACAGGAGGATACATCAAAGCCTATTACAAGACCACGTGCGACATGGCTGTGTGAGTCAAATTCCCATAGAGCACAGGCTCAGACGGAGGCAAAACGCAGGGGTTTCAAGAGCCAATCCTACTTTCCAAGCCAAGAAAATGCAACCTGCGGTTACAGAGAAAGCTTGATGCTAGAGTGAAAGGCAGCTGGGGCCCACAGACAAGAGCCTGAAGGCAGACCCAACTGAGGGGAATGTGGCTGTTACTTCATTGTCTAAACTGTGTAAATTGCTCCAGGACCACACTAGGTGAGGAGATAGCTGGAGACCTGCCCAATGATGCAAGGCCGCAACTCTCTCCTATGGCTTTAAAAAAAAAAAAAAAGGGATCAGTATGTGATTTCTCTCTCTTCCAGGGTGCGCTTTCAAGTAGAGACAGTGCTGACTCAGTGAGCTTGCTGCAGAGTGCCAGAGAGCTCATGAGTGTGGCTGACGTGTTAGGGAGATTACAAAGCCAGCATCAAAGCTGTCTACATGGGCTTTTTGTGGCTGAGCTGCCTTGACCTCCCAGAGAGGAGCAGAGCTGGTGCTGTGTGCCACCACAAAGGAGCATCACAGGGCGAGTTGATGGAGTGTTTTCTGTTAGTGCTGGGATAAAGGTCCAGGAACATCCACCAGCAACCAGAGGGAAAGAGGAGGAAGGGCTCAAGCTTGCACTGTGGGCTTTGGATTTCCTTTTAGTGTTTCTAAGTGGAATTATATCTTGTATGTAATAATTAGGGAGAAGCAAATTTGGCAGATTATGGTTTTGATTAAGCCTTTTCCTTTTTATGGCTGAGTAAGAAAGTATGCTAATTGCCTACTTCCTTGTTCCTAATTGCCTCACTATTATGACTTGTACCATGGGCATAAAGGCTCTTCCATGAATATCCACCCCATCTGAACAGTTCTTCATTCTGGGCAGTAGAAGCAGCAGAAACAGTGCAGAAGGATAAGGTGACAGTCTCCCAGTGAAGGAGCCCTACTGCCAGCATGAGAGACTGCCGTGTCCCTCAGAGGGCTCCCGTGAACCAGCCACTGCCTTGCTCCTCAGCCAGATTCCTAATACCCAAGTTTCCCAAGTCTCTTTGTAGCACTCTTGCCACTCCCTCCCTATGTGGCTCATACTTCAAACCCCCAAACATGGCAGAGCTAAGTCACTAATCCTCAGGGCCTCTGGGCCCTGATAAACTCTGGCAAGTTTCTTAACTTCTTTGAGCCTGTATCTCTGTCTGTGAAAAAGGAAGCTTGAGATAGATTCATGGTTCTCAAACTTGAACATGGAGCAAAGATAGAGGGTGAATTGGAGACTAAGGAGCTGAGCCCTACTCCCAGAGTGTTTTGTTTTTCTGATTCAGTAAGTCTAGGAAGGATGTGTATACAATATATATTGGATTCACTTCTAATCTTTACCTATTTTGCTTTACTTATAGGTTCCCAAGTAGTGTTGGTTCTGCTGATCTGGGGACCCACTCTTTGAGAACCACTGGGCTAGATAAATTCCTTGCCAACTCTAATTTACTGGTGATGTTTGCCTAAGGTAGCCTGTGGGGTTAGAAGGAATTATCTATCACTGTCTGTCATAGACATAGCTTCACAGGAAAATTGTCACATATTTTCTCTTTCTTGACTAAATGATTTCCAAGGTAGATCTAAACCATGAAACTAACAGGTAATCATCTGAAGAAGAAGTCATCTTACCTGGGGTCAGGCTTGGAACTCACCTCTACTGGGTCTGGGTGGCACCACATCCGGATGAGACTGTGGTTCCTCAGGGACTCATCTCCCATGGCAATGCTGGTGATCACAGATTTGTCCAGCTATGGACAAAGTAAGGGTGAGAGGGGGTGAATGTAGGGAGAGGGGTGAAGTTAGGGCTTCTTACTGTCCCCCATCTGTTCACCCAGTGTCAGGCCCTGCCCCCACCTGGATGATGAGTTTCGTGAATGGTTCTGTGATAATCTTGAGAAGGTCAGGGGCATCACGGCCACCACGGATGTTGAAGGAGGCAACTACGAGTCCAGTGACATGGTGCAGATAGCCCGTAGCAGCCTCCAGGGGCAGCAGGATCAGAACAGACAGCCAGTTAAAGCAGTCGTGCACTGTGGCGCCTGCAAAAGCCCTGAGCAGGGAGGCCATATTGCAGGGCAGCTGTACCCAGGGTGTGCTAAAGCTGGGGGCTCCTGACATCCAGTTTTGCTTTCTCACCAACAAGCATGAGACTCCCACCCTCCTTCCCCAGCTCACCGCCGGAAGTCAGTCCTGTCCCCTGCTTGCATCAGGGCCACAATGGTGTTGGTGACAGAGGTTCCAATGTTGGAGCCCATAATGATGGGAATGGCAGAGCTCACCTCCAGCACTGGTAAAGAAGAGCCTCTTAAGTGGTTGGGTGGTAGCCACAAGGATCTACCCACATAATAGTCCCTATCAGTTCCATGACTTAGAGAGAGAGAGAGAGAGAGAGAGAGAGAGAGAGAGAGAGAGAGAGAGAGAGATGTGGAGGCCAGAAGAAGACTTCAAGTATCCTGCTCTATCACTCACTTTATTCCCATGACACAGGCTTTCTTACTGAATCTGGAGCTAGGTGGCAGCCAGCAAGCCCTAGTGATTCTATTCCACCCCTGCCAGTGCTGGGGCTACAAGTGTATGTACAATGATATTCAGCTTTTTATGTAGGTGCTGAGGATTTGAACACAGGTCATCATTGCTTTCATAGCAAGTACTCTTACCCACTGAGTCATCTCTACAGTCCCAAGTAAAGGAGATTATTCTTGATAATCTAGGTTGGCCTCATCAAATGAGATGAAAGGGCCTTTAAATACAAAACTGAGGCTTCCTTGAGGAAGAAGAAATTGCAATTGTGAACTGTAGGTTTGTCTTCTGCCTGAGAATCCTGGGATGTCCTTCAAACAACCTGTCCTATGAATTTCCAATTTGACTAACCAGCCCTACAATTATGAAAGCCAATTCTTTGCAATAAATTGCATGTATGTAATGGATATATACCCTACAAATTGAGTGTCTCTGGCTTCCCTGAGCGACTGTGTGGCTGAATGGGGATGGGCCTAATAGTGGCTATGCTCCTCCTCCTTTGCCACCCTCCCCAGCACCTTTGACACCCTTCCTGGCTCTGACTCTTGGTCCTGCTTTAGAGGACAGAATAAGGAGATGCTAGAGCCCCCTGCCTTTTGCCCTCATCCCCTTGTACACTACTGCCTTCATCCTGAAGCTTCCTAACATGTACCACTCAACCCCCAAGGCTCTTTTCCTAGCCACGTTGTTCCAACTCACAGCCAGAGGAGACCATGCTGACAATGATGGATGTAGAGGTGCTGGAGCTCTGCACCAGCACAGTCACCAGGATCCCCACCACCAGCCCTGCCACTGGGTTGGACAGGATGACATTGTCCTTAAAGATATCACCAGCTACCTTCCCTGCAGAACACAAGCCAGTGTCATCTGAGGTTCTTCTGAAACCCTTCCCTGACCTCTTCCACCTGGGCCCTACCTCCAGCTAGCTGGAAAGCAGAGCTAAGCACGTCCAGGGAGCAGACAAAGAGGTAGAGGAAGGCCAGCATCAGCGGTACCTTGAGGAGATTTGTGCCTGCCTGGCGCAGCTTCTGGGCCAATCCGGGCTCTGGAGGTGGGTCAGGCACAAGCATGGTGGGCAGGGCACCAGGGCAGTGACTATCCATGCCCCTGCTGTGACACCCCCCCACCCAGCCTAGCCCACCTGGTTTTTGCTCCTCTTCCAAGGCCAGTTTGGCAGGTATTGGATCATGACATTCTAAGACCTCCCCATAGTGACAGCTGTGCTCTGTGAGGGCCACCGGGCTCAGACTGGAGAAGGCATAGGTGGATGTCCCTGGAATCCTGTGCAGGACTGGAGAGGAGGTTGATTAATTCTAAGAGGCCTCAGGGGTCCAGGGGAGACAAATAGAGGCACAGGGCCTTACCCAGGAAGTAACAAACTATGGGCAAGAAGGGCCCAGGGCATAAGAACAGTACTTACCCTGTGGGCTGGGCACATAGGCAAAGGCTGTCCCATGCATCACATGTCCCCCACGGACTGGAAGTGGGGAGACAGCTGGTCCCCCTCGCCTCTCTCCATAGGACATCATGCTGTGGGTCCTATGTGTCAAGAGGTTGCAGCAATGCTGAGTGATAATTGCTGTGTCCTAAACATTCATACCCACATACATGCACATCCACAAACAGCTATGGTGTGTGATCCTATCCACCCCCACTCCCATACCCAGAGATGCACACTCAGGTGCTAGGCACAATTTGAACATTCATTCAGCAAGGTTTTCGTCGCTGTTTTGTTTTGCAGGAATGGAATCTAAGGACTTGGGCATGCGAAGCAAGCACTCCAGCCCTGAGCTACATTCCCAACCCCAGCAAGTATTTCTTAAGCATGTAGTGTATCCTAGGCTTCGAGTTAGATGCTGGGATACAGGGGTCATTAAAACAAGACACAACCACTGCTCTTTGGAAAGTTTAAAGTTTAGTGGGGAGACATGTAAATGATGTAAATGATCTCTCAAATGATGGAAAATGACAACCAGATGTTTTAATAGATACAGGTACCAGTAGAGTGTTCCATGGCAGGGCAGAGGCTCTTGAAGGAAAGAAGAGCATCAGTTCTTTTAAGTCAGGGAAGCAAACTGGGCTGGGCTGGAATTGGGATATCATATGACGCAGGAAGGAGGAAAACCGATAGGAGAGAGGTAGGAGCTGGGCCATTTCCTACTAAGAGCTAGGGATAGGATTGAGACCTGGGGCCCTGGGCTCACCTTGATGATCTGTGTTTAAGCTTCTGCTCAGCAGCTTGGAGAAGTCTAAAAAGGAACTGAGACCCTCCTCTTTATATTTTCTGGTCAAGGGCAAAGTCCTTAGAACTCTAGTTGCCCTCCCTTTGTTCCCCGTTTGACTAACCTTACCCTTGAAGTTCTTTCCAGTTAATTGCTAATCGTCAGTTCTGCAGAGAGAGTATGTGGTCAGGTTTCCCTTCCCTACTACACCAGCTTTAACCACAACCCAGCAAGAGCACAGGCACATCCCCCCACCAGACACAGGTACATTTCCCCCCACCAGACACGGGCACATCCTCCCACCAGACACAGACACATCTCCCTACAAGGTACAGGTGCATGGGAAAGTGTGTTGGGAAGCTTGCTTTTCTTTCATGGGACTGTGAAGCCTGAGTTGGGGCCCAGATTTTCAGAGTAATGAGCTTTTGGACAGGATTAAACTTATAATCAGCTCAAACAACAGTGGGTCCCATTCAACGTCTGGCTTAGGCAACTGTCTGAGTAACTTGGCTAACATTACCAACCCATCTTTCTTCCATCTGGCCCATCCATCCACTCATCCATCCACCCATTCACCTGTCTGTCCATCAATCCACCTATCCATCCACTTATTTGCCTATGCATCCACCCATCCATCCACCCATTCATCCACCCATCCACCTATCCATCCATCCATCCATCCATCCATCCATCCATCCATTCATCCATCCATCCTGCCAGTCTCATGTATTTGCCCATATGCATATTGAGTTCTGATTCCACACTGGGCCAACACTGGCCAGGCCAGCTTCTCTCTGGTCTGAGCAAAGGTCCAAGCTAATCCTTAAATCAATCTGGAATTCTCAGGTAAGTCAGTTTACATCTATGGGCCCTACTCCCTTTATATATAAAATGGCAACTAATTAGTAGTGCTTCTTCAGTGAGTTATAGAATCCAAGAGGACAAATGACCTGCCTCAGGGCTTAGAACAGTCTGTCTACAAGTTGTTCTCCTGATGCTCTCCTGTCCTTTTCAAGTCTCCAGGATGCTGAAGTGCCCCAGCCACAACGATAGCCCCACCTCCTCTAGATGTATTCTATTTCAAGTCAATTGCTCTTTATGGCTCATCAGGTGTCCTTATTTCAGGGTTCCCTGAGCTGAATATCCACCCAGCATCTTCAAGGTGACACCTCTCTCCATCAACGAAGATAAACATTTCTGCACAATTCCTGCTTTAATTGGATCAAGGACAACTGACTAATACTTCATAGCCTGGGTGTAGCAATGACCCACTGAGTCTCTACAGAAGTGGCTGGGTTGGATCCCAGCTCTGCCTCCAAATGACAGTTTTTGCCACAGAATGCACAAAGGAGAAAGGAAGGAAAAGAGGAGGTACCACCAGGACTGGCTTTTTAAATTTTTTAGTGGCAAAGATAGAACATAGAGCCTTGTACAGTGCTAGACACTGAGCTACATCCTGCCCTGTGGGTAAAGTGACTCTAAATCCTGATTCGATTACCCAAATCCTGGTTTATGACTGTCAGTCCAGAGGCCCATTTCACTCCTAAAAGTGTCTTGCTTTGGGCAGTAGTTTTAGTGACTAAAGAATGGAAACAGAGGGGTTGGGGATTTAGCTCAGTGATAGAGCGCTTGCCTAGCAAGTGCAAGGCCCTGGGTTGGGTCCTCAACTCTGTAAAAAATAAAATCTTCAAAGTTAGCTGGGTATGGTAGTGCACGCCTGTAGCTCCAGCACTTGGGAGGCAGAAGCAGGCGGATCTTTGTGAGTTCAAGGCCAGCCTGGTCTACACAGTGAGTTCCAGGACAGCTGGGGCTATTGGGAGACCCTGTCTCCAAAAAAAAAAAGTGGGGGGGTTGTTCGTTTGTTTTTTGCTTTTTGGTATTTTTGAGACAGGGTCTCCCTGTAGCCCCAGCTGGCCTAGAACTTGCTATGTAGACCAGGCTGGCCTCGAACTCACAGAGATCTGCCTGCCTGTGCCTTCTGAGTGCTGGGATTAAAGGCATGCGCCACCACAGTGGGATACCACAACATTTTGAAACACTACTTTTCTTTTTTTTGGTCTTTTTGAGACAGGGTCTCCCTGTAGCCCCAGCTGTCCTGGAACCCACTATGTAGACCAGGCTGGCCTTGAACTCACAGAGATCTGCCTGCCTCTGCCTCCCGAGTGCTGGGATTAAAGGCTTGTGACACCACGTCCGGCCTTTGAAACACTACTTTTCACACACACACACACACACACACACACACACACACACACACACACACAGTCGTTTTAACTGAGTTAGGATTTTATTGTCTATAAAAGGTTACATCTTACTTTTAAAAAAAATCTACCTTCAATTATGAGTCTTTTCCTATGTCTTAAAATCAGCAAAGTTTTTTTTTAAGTTTTTTGAGCTAGGAGGTCTCACTATGTTGCTCAGGCTGGCCCCAAGCTCCTGAGCTCAAGTTATCTGCATGCCTCAGGCCCCAAGTAGCTCAAGCTTCAGGTGCATGCCACTGGCTTTGGGCCATGTGCTATATTTAATGGTCACATCACATTTCATCACTAGTCTTAATTTATTACCTGAGGCTTTGGTGTATCAGAACCTCTTCGATGAGAAGGAGTGATTTAGCTGAGACTGGGGTTCAGGCACAGGGAGAAGGGTATCTCTGAGTCAGGGGGATGCAGTAAGAGTTTTTGGCTCAGAATCTCTTTCTCCTTGGGCTTTGCCACATTAACGATGGACATGGAGGTTGCTTGGACTGAGAAATTCCCTACAAGTACCTTGTCCTCTCCTGAGAACAGGTGCAGTGACCTGGGTTCACATTAACTATTCTTTATCCTTGCCTGCCTGGGTCAGACCTTAGGCAGGAATGGCCTAGTGCCATTCAAAGTGCTCCTGATGAGCTTGGGTGCTTTTAGTAAGATTGTTGTACTTTTTGTTGTTTTGGGGTTTTTTTTGTTTTTTGTTTTTTGGTATTTCTGAAACAGGGTTTCCCTGTAGCCCCAGCTGGCCTGGAACTCACATAGATCCACCTGCCTCAGCTGAATGCTGGGATTAAAGGTATGTGTCACCACACAAGCCAGCCTGTAAGATTGGTTTTTAAAATAGCTTTTAACTCTCCCTACACTTCTGGGGAAAGATTAAGGATTAGTGAGATGAGACAGTTAATTATTGATTAAATGCAACCTAAGGGATATGATTCCAAAGTGCTGTGGAATTATATCTCCAGTCACTTCCAAAGGTATTCTCATCTCCTCTCAGCACCTCTGCTCACCTCAAACACCCACTCTCTCTCTTCCCTGGTTGGTGACAGGGCCTGCGTGTGTGTTCAGGCTCTGGCTATGGCTTCCCTAAGACCTTCCTGGTATTAGTATCTGGGTGGTTAGGAGGTGTCTCATATTGGGAATAGGCACCCAAGAGGATGAGCTGCTTGTGGGGAGAGACTCAGATGAGTCTGCACAGGCTGTCAGATGGGCCTCTGGCAGGATCAGCTGGCTCTGCAATTCAGAGCACACTGAACTCTTTATAGCATCCTGGGCCCCTTCGTGTTCTCAGTCTTTGCAAACACCACCCAGTCAGTCCCTGGATCTGAGCCAGACACCAAGCAGGCATCTTTGACTCTTGCTTCTTCTCCTTTTTGCATCCATCCCTTCCTCTAGTTCTCTCAATGTTACCTCTCCAAGAGCTCCCTGTCCAACATTGCTGTGGCTATCACTGCTGCTCAGTGTCTGCCATCACCTGTGGAGGATACAGAGGCCTCCCAGATGCATCTGCCCGCCTCTGCTCTGGTTGCCACCCATCCATTCTCCAGTGATTTTAAAATTACATTTAAATTTTATTTTATTTTATTTTATTTTATTTTATTGGTGGGGGCACAGCATGTATGAGTGCCACAGCATGTGTATGGAGACCAGAGGACAACTTTGTGGAGTTGGTTTTATCCTTCCAACTTCCCATGGGTTCTGTGTATTGAACTCAGGTTGCCAGGCTTGGGTAGCAAGCACTTTTACCCACTGATTTAAAAGTGTCCTAAAAATATCGGAGGCTGGAGAGATGGCCCAATGGTTAGGATCACTGGCTGCTCTTGCAGAGAACCAAGGTTCAGTTCTCAACATCCACATGG